GTTGTCTCCACCCACCCTAAGTGATTGTACTATAACCCTTTTATTCTGTGAAAGAGCCACATTAAACCAGGTTCAGTATCTCTCAAGTCCAACCTTTCTTTTCCCCTTCATGACATCAGTATTCTGGGAAAATTCATCAAGTTATATGTTTCTTGTATGCATTTTATTGTAAAAAGAAATAAATTTTTATTTAAAAGTTAAAAATGGAATAAGTATCATCAATTAACAATTAATAGCGATTACTAATTAATAACCAGCAATTATTAGGGAGCTGATGTTAGTTTTGGAATAAGGATTTATTATTATTATTATTTTGCTCCGAATGCCCTCAGGGGTGGTTGGGCTGGCTGGAGTGTTGTGGGGATCGAACTACAGCAACCTGAGGCTGACAGCTTTGTGGAAGCAGCCACTTAAAGAACTGAGCTAGGGCCAGGCCCCCAGATGTTAGTTTTGGAACAGTGTTAGCTAAGGGATTGTCTAGGATAATGTGGAATTAGGTGTTTGAGAGATCCCAACCTTTTTCTTTCTCCTTTTAATCCCATCTAGGCATTGCCTGCAGCCTGAGATAGGACTACAGAGCATTTCAGTTGACTCCAAGGCCCACACGTGAATCAAGGTTATGTGGGCACATGGGACAGGGGCTTTTGACCACTTGGTGTGGAATCTTCTTATTGGAAGATGCACCTAGGACCTAGAAATGCCACAAAAAGCATGGTTGGTGGACTGGGATGTTGCTCCTGTACAAAATGTGTGTGAGGGCTCCCAAGGGGAACAGCTCCATCACTTGAGATTCCATCTGGAATTGTTCCTCACACTCATAATGGGGTGAGAAGATGGATTTGGTCCTCCTCATTTGTGAGATGTATTCATATTTTCTCAGATAGTGAGAATTTATTCACAGTCCTTATCAAAGTTAGGAAAATGTATGTGTTGTGCAAGTGTATGTATGGGTGTGGAGGTGAGGAAATTTCTGGAAATAACATGAAATCCAGCTTTAGAAAAGTTTGGAGGTATTTCACTGCAGTCATTCAAATAAGTATCTAAATTGATCTACACACACACACACACACACACACACACACACACACTTAAAAGAGAGGAGGAACAATTAATACTGGCATAGAGTGGGTGACTCAATTTCATTTTCTTTTTTGGGGGGGAGCTTTTTTTGTTGTACTGGGGATTGAATTCAGGACCTTAGGCTTGCCAGGCAGGCACTTATGCCCTTGGGTTATCTCCCCAGCCCAGGTGACTCAATTTCTGTTTGTTAAGACATTGCATCAATTCTGCAAGCCACGTAGGCCAAGTTTCACCTCTTTCAACCCTCCTTTCACCTCAAAAAATGAAAATAAGGAAAATGTAGGTCGAATTATAAAAAGCCTTGGTGAAAGGCCAGTGTTCAAAGTAAATGCATGTTCTTACCGTCCTTTTGAAAAATAGACAAATCTATAGCTACAATTTGCAACAAGGTAGTTATACCAAGGAGACACCACACACCATGTTGCCACTGAGTAGAAATCGTGGCCTGGCTTAATGCTTCCAGCCTGTGGTTACTGCGGGCCTCGTGGCCCAGCCCTCCGCTGAATTGCAGCTGTAGTTACCTCAGGTGTCTACTACAGAATGAATCCTCTGTCTGGGCACAAGAACAACAGTTTCCTCATTCACACAGGGCGTTCCCTTTAAACACTGTGCCTCCTGAATGATTCTAGGACAGTCCTTCTTTTCTTTAAGACTGTCTTTTCTCATTTTTGTTTTCTTTCCATAGTAATATGCATTTGTTTTAGAAACTTCAGAAAATAGAAATACACAAAATGAACCGAGACAAAAATAATCTAGAGTTTGATCCAACTTACTTTCATCTATATATTAAATACATAGTCACATATATACACATGGATAGAAAAGCTATCTTTTCTCTATTTCAAAACTTTCATTTTATAATTTCATTGCATTCATCACATTTCGCTGAAACAATCACTTTTTGTCATATTTTATGATACTATTTGCTCTTTGTTTGGTACCCAGAACGGAACTCAGGACCTCACACTTGCCAGGCAGGCGCTGTGCCGCTGAGCTGTATTCCCAGCCATATTTCATGGTATTATAGACAATAGCCCCATAATTAGCCCTGGAAGCTGAGCTATTGTGAGTGTCCTTGATGATTTTCTTAAAATAAATTTCTAAAAATAAAAATGTCAGTTTAAAATGGATGTAGGAATCTTTTGTGTGTGTGATGATGCTGGGAATTGAACTGAGGTTTCAAGGTGAGCTACATCCGCAGCCTTTCTAATTTATTTTGCTTTGCAACAGGCTCATGTTACGTCACTAAGTGCTCAGGCTGGACTCCAGCTTATTACTCCTGCCTTAGCCCCACTTGCTGGGATTGCAGGGCGTGCTGCCGCACCCTCCCGGCTACAGCCTTCTCTGTTGGATTGCGTTCCTGAGCACTCAAATCAGATCCCATACTCGTTCTCACCATGGGGAGGTTCAGAGAAAATGTAACCAAGGCGATCTCACACACATACAAGATAATCAAATTATGATAAAGGTAAAATTCCATCAATTTCCTTAGATCTTGATCAAGAGATTTCCTTCATGCCCATGGTTATCTGCAGATGTGGTGACTCAGAAATTGGCGTTCAGAGGCCAGGTGTACTATCAAGTGAGTCAGATTCTTTGGTAGTTTGAAGGACTTTATATCGCCAACTAATAATGAGCTGTTTTGGCACAATCCCTCAGGGGGTTTCCAGCCAAACTGAGAGGTCTACAAACTCAGATGCAGAGTATAGGCTATAAACAGAACTTAAGTAGGATATGAAGTGACGCGAGCCAGCTGTTTCCTCTGGGCAATCGTAATGTCTACTATTAAAGAATTTACAAATGAGGGGAAACTTTGAGTCACTCAAGTTTAGGCCCTGGGATAGGGATGACAGAGAGTTCACAGGGGCTTGTCACAGCCCCCATTAGGTGAGTGGAGTCTAGGCTCCAGTGGGGTTGGTGAGTATACTCCGGCCTCTGGGCAGGGGTGACAGAGGAGGGCAGAGATGGCAGAGGGGAGGGCTGGGAAGGGGGTTCCTGTTAGACTGGATGCAGATCATAGCCTTTTTGTTTACTGAAGATGGGGTGTTGGGCAGATTCCTGAAACTGGCTGAGCTTCAAGTCTATGAAAAGAGACAAGCTCCTCCTTCTAGGGCTGTTAAAAGACTTCAGTGAAATAAAATGTGTGAAAATTACAATAACTGACACATTGAAAGAACTCAGTCAATGGTTGCCATTAATACTATAATGGTTAATAATGATTTTTCCATTTCTCCTAGAATTAGGAAAATGTGGCTTTTATGATTGATTGTTAACCACCATCACTATTTATTTATTTATTTGGTACAGGGTCTCCCTCTGCAGCTTAGACTCATAGTGATCCTCCTGTCTCAGCATCCCTAGTGCCGAGATTATAGGCATGTGCCACCATGACTGTTTTCAGTGGCCTGCTTGGCATGGGGACAACATGACATGTGGTACTGAGGACTGAACTTATGTCTTTGAGCTTGCCAGACAGGTGCTTAGACTGCTGAGCTATCTCCCTGGCCCCTTACCCTTTTAAAAAAAAATATTCTCATTTTCAGGGATTGTTAACCTGATGTCCAAGAACTCCTCTGAGACCACCAGTAGATGGAGAAGGAAGTTAAATTTGGATGGAAATAAAGAATATCATTGACTTTTAGTAACTTCTGACCAAAAGGTAATATTTCCTTCCATTACAACAGGATACAACAAACTAATGTCAACAATACTGATCATACTCTGATTTATGGCACAAAATCTGTGCATATTCATATCACATTGAAATTGCTGCAGATACCTCAAAATACCATTTTAATTGCACTTGTACTTCAATGTGCTGTATGTTCTCAGATGGACTCACTGGATGGCCGTGAGAGCGCAGGTGGGCAGTGTGTGTTTGTCAGCAGATGGGACACGATGGAGCTGGCTGTCGGGACAGCTCTACCACGATTTTAAAAACATTTTGATAAAATATTCTGCTATGTTGGGGTTTTAATGATTCTATGTGTTTTATTTTATGTATTTATAAATTATTATGCTGAGAAAAAAATCTGCAGATTTCACCAGACTGCTGGGGACACCACAGAGCAAGAGAGCTTTGAGCGTGATGGTGAGCCTGCCGCATGCAAGCACAGTCCTCTCCTCAGCTCAGTCAGCCAAATCACCCCAGAGGCCAACTATCAGATATTCAGGTTTCACTGCAGTGTTGGCATTTTGAAACATGAAAGTGGGTTTGAGGTTACAGTTTGTTAGTTTGTGCTGAACAGTTCCCCACTCTTGGCTTAGAATGTTCAGGCAAGATCTGCCTCAGGGAGGAGAGCGGCCCTCTCAAACAGCCAGGGGCCTCTTTATGAGCTTTCTTGTCTATTACCCAGACAATGGATACCCAAAGCAACATTTCTGTGGAGAATTGCCAACAGGTGAGGGAGTCTTATCACTCCCCAAACCTAATTCTGTATACGAAAAGAGAAAACATCTCTCTCCTTCCTGCAGGAGGCTGATGCTAAGAGCATCCCTGAGAAATAAGTTACCTAAATGACGAAAGGCCCCAAGGGATCACTCAGCATTGACAATTTATGGATAGCAGAGGAAGGTGGAAGAAGAAAGAATGATGAAGAGAAATCCAGATAGCTCAGCGGACTAAGCACCTGCTTAGGCAAGTGCAGGGACCCCTGGGCTCACTAAGCCAGCTACTGTGTCTGGGTGTGGTGGTGCACGCCTGTAATCTCAGCACTGGGGAGGCTGGAAACAGGGATGACTATGAGTACAAGCTGTGAAGTGAGACCCTGTGCCAAATACATTAAAAAGGAAAAAAATAAAAAAAATTCAAAAAACAAAAAACAGAGACAAGAGGCCCTTAGTTTTAGGGGCCATGAGACCTACTGCTGCAAACAGAGGAGGAACTTTACACCAAGGACTCTGAAATTAAACAACAACACGATAGTACTTGATAGTTTATTTTGTGGTACATGATCAAGTTTAGGGGAAATGTCCCCGTGGGCTTTCCACCCTCACTCCCCTCCCATCTCACTATGCTGATCATCTGCTCTAATCCATTTCCCATCTCTTTGCTTGCCTGGTTTTCCTGGCCTTTTCCACTTTAAACACTTGATCCTCCTTCGAAGAACAAAAAGCTTTGTACATGTTAAAAAACAGTTAGGATCTGGTAGGACTCACAGCAACTTATAGCACTGCGTTTTGATTCCTTCATTGGGCATGGAGTATTTTCAACCAGGCCTCCAAATCCAGGCAAGAGTTCATGTCACACAGAACTAAAACGGTTCCGAAGGCCCCTGGCTGGAGGTATCCAGGCGTACAAATGGGAAACACCATACGAACAGTGACAAGCAACATCTTTTTAGCTTGCTGGGATTCTTCTTGGTCTTAAGTTAGACATCTTTCATTTAAAATGCATACACATATATACAGTTGCAATTGGAGTGGGATTTTTATCCTAGACATTGCAAAGTTTATCTCAGATAAAGCTCAGGCTTGTCAGTCTGTAAATTAGCCCCAGTACTCCGGTTTTCCCATTCCTTAAAAAAAAAAAAAAGCTTGTTTGCCAAGTTCAGATACTGACATGTGAAGATGCCAGTCTTTATACAGTTTTATAAAAGTAGAATATGGGGAGTATGATACACTAGTACAAAGGTTTACAATATTACAAGCACAATGTATAAATTACAAGGAAGTAGAGGAAGCTTATTGTTCTGTCTTTAGGTGGTTCTTTCAACAGTCATATTGCTGTGAAGAAAATGAAATGTGTGTTAGTGACAATCAGGCTAAAGAAGCAGTGGCATTTCTAACCTTTACACTCCTATTTGAGCAAACACAACTTTAACTTTCCCAGAGCTTTAGGCAACCACACTTAGGGCCTACACAATGCTTGCAAAATGTTTTCTAAACAAACCAGGCCCATTGTCTTCCCCAGCAAAGGCTGCAAGCTACTGAGGCAGGTTGGTTTGAGTGTGTTTTCCTGGGGCTTTAATCTCTTGGGGATTTAGAAGCTAATGCCCAGGGAGTTTTGCCCTGTGTGGGTTCAGTGTAGCTAACCTTTCAAATAAAGTGCTGTGGGCTCCCCTACACTCAAAACTCCTGCCCTTTCAAAGTGTCTTTTGTCCTCTAATCGGAGCTAACCAATCTCAGTATCTGGGAAAAGCTATCCCTACAGGGACTAGGATGGGAACATAGTGTATTTGCTCCTCAGGTCATGGGAGGTGTCACTCCTTGCCAAGTCCCTGAAGTGTTATGTCTGTCCCCAAAAATGACCCACCGAGTTTAAACTCTGCCTTGTAGGAATTGGAAAGCTAAATATAGACTGTGTTCAGTAATCTTGAAAGAATTTTTCTCTGCCCCTCCCTAAATATGTGGCCTGCAAACATCTCCATATTGATGGTTTCCCACTCATATTCTTGGAAATTTGGCAGTATCCTAAAGAAAGTATTTATCTTGTTGCACTGATTAACTATACTAAGGAAAACTATATTAATTATATTAACTTTCCCTCAAAAATTATAGAAAGTTTCCATTTATTTACAGCAAAGTTTTTCATGATAGCAATGAACTTTTAGTTTTCACTGGGTTTTTCTCTCATTATCAAAGGAAGGTAAAAGACCTGGGACTAGAGGAAAAAATGGTTCAGAAAATATAAATGAACAAGTTTCTGTTTGCCTAATCATGTTTGACAGAATAAGAGTGAAAACAAACCACTTCCCAAAACTGGACCAGAGCTGGACTTCCATCAATTCAATAATATATATCTTTTAGGAAGATAAAGAAAAAAGAACTTTCCCTGCTATGCACAAATGCATATTTCTCTCCTAAATCATATCCTCAGGAAACAAGTGCTTCCTGGTTTTCTTTCGCACTGAAAAGCTTTTCATAACCGCTACTCAAAGGTTACTAGTGCTTCTGGATGCCTGGCTGCTTGGACAGTTTTTGACTCCTTATTAGGAAGGAACCTTAGAAAATTCATCAGAGCAGCAGTGTAGCATACATGTTAAGACCACGAGCTTTGGCATTAAAGCGTGTTACTACCCAATGGGGGGGGGTCTCCTACATAAATATTTAATTTCTGAATCATAGTGCTATCTGAAAGATGAGTTTAACATAGTGTCTGATGTAATTAATACAATTAACTAGTACTTGTGTGTTAAGAACAGGAGAGCAGGTAAAGGAGAAGACATCTCGGACATCTCTTGCATCTCTGTAACCAGGGCAGGGCTAGTGGGTTCTATGGTGAAAGTGTCGTACACAGAATGCATCTCTTCATAGAGAGTCAACTTCAGAGAACCAAGGTAATCCAGTGACGGTGAGACTCAAGCAAGCTTATTAGTGAGGGAGAAACTGAATGGTACCGAAGCACAGCCAGAGATGAGGGAAGAATAAATGGTGCCAGTTTGAGCATGGTTGGCTTTGCCATTTTTTCTTTGATGAAAAGAATGGTGCATTAGGACAACTGAAACACAAGGGCCAACCCAGGGCATTTTACACAGGCTCTTACCTGCTGGCGAGAGCAGCAGTAGCCACAAATGCCTCCAAGCAATCCATTTATTACTTGAATGAGACACAAGATGAATTCGATTCCTCCAAAAGCCAAGAGGAGAGAAAACAGAGTTACATTCCACTCCACAATGTGCTTGGGTTCCTTGCACTGGGACCAGGTGGAACTATCCAGAAGGTACCTGTGGATACAAAACATAACTTCTGACATATGATGCTCCTGAGGGGATATATCACAAGCTGCCTTTTGGTGTGATCATTTTTATTCAGAAATAAAGGAGATTAATTAGCTTAATATCCTTTGTTTGATTTTCCCAGAACATACCATTCCACAAAATAGAGAAATTTAACTCAGATTTTACTATAGTGATGAACATGAAATTAAAAAAAAAAAATAAAATGTTTAGAAGGGCATAGTAGGGCTGGAGAGATGGCTCAGTGGTCTAAAGCACCTACTTGGAACAAGCTTGGCAAAGCACAGGGACCGCGGTTCAATCCCCCAGCACCACATGCCAGCCAGCCCCGCCCCCTGGTGGGCTGAGCTGGCCCCCCCCACAGAATAAATAAATAAATAAAAATTAAAAAAAAATTAGAAGGGCATAGTAGCCAACATGCTTATAATCCCCACACTCAGAAGGCTGAGGCAGGAGGGTCCCCATGATTTCCAGGCCAGCCTAGGCTATAGAGTGAGTTCAAAGCCATTCTGAACTACACAATGAAATACTATCTCAAAAACAAAACAAAAAAAAAACACTTAAAACTTTCGATTCCTAATATAGGATTCTGTGCTTAGAAATCCTTACCTTAGAATAATGTTTTATTCCCTAGAGGCATAAATTACTGTAGACAAAAAATAAAAGTACAAACTGTATTTGTGCCATGTTTAAGGTAAAATTCATGTATGTGTGGGGATGTGAACTAACTATACGTGGAAAAGTAAAATCTAATTATGTATTAAGATAGCAGAATTGAAAATTTCTTTTACCTGGTTTCTCAAATGTATTGTTGCTTAATTGTTATCTGTGTGAAAGGTGGGACCTTGTGGACAATGGCGAAAGGCTATTTAGAAGCTACAATCCCTTTATATTGGTTCTTTTTAAGCTTTAGACTATTTCATTAAAATGCAATTCATTCTTTTTGAAAATTATTCAACTTCTGCCAAGTGTGGAGATTCAATATGCTAGAGTTTTCAGCTGAGATCTTTTTGAACAAATCATTTTTTTGTTAAAGAGTAAGTTATTTTGCAACAGGAAGCAGAAGGATTAAATCCAACTACTTGGAAACGTTTTTACTTGTATGAGGTACCCATGCACCCATAATGGCATGAAGCACATGACGTTTGCTCACTCAACAGAGATTACTAAATCCTCTGCATGAAATCCACGTGGAGTCAGAGCTGGGGACACAGCGGAGAATGAGGCCCCGGCTCTGCCCCAGAAGGACAGAGCATGCGCATGCACTGAGCACATTTTCAAGGTAATGGAATGACAAATAACAACCTGAAGCCACTTTGAAACATTAACACAATGTGGTAAGATCATACCTAATTGCACATGTACATGGCCTGAGACAATTGCTAAGTGTACGGATACTTGTCTTGTCTGAAAGAAGTTACCTCTGATTCCTTTCCTAAAACTTCAGCCCTTTAGTGCAGCCTCCTATTCTTAGAATTGTATTAGTATTTGTCAGTTATGCCGAACCATGGGCTGCCTTTTGGCAGAGTCACGCCTGCATGTAACATACTTTGATTATTTCCATTCTCCTGTTACCCCATGCCTGTCCTTCTTCTCTCCCTGATCCTCTTTCTCCTCTCTAATAGTCTCCCTTTTACTTTCCCCTCTTTTTTTAAATCTCTCTTTCTCTTTCTTTTTACCATTTGATTCTTAATGAAATAGACTTTAATCATATGGGAAAATCTAGGATTGACTTAACTCCACAAAGAAGCCTGGCACAATCTTCTTATCATTTCCTGTTGCCTCAGTAGAACAAAGGGACTTGGAATTAGAGCCCTAACTTTGAAAGAGTTCATTAAGCCATCTAGAGATCCATTCCTATGGTTAAAAATGTTCTTTTAAAGTTTCCTCTCCCTCTGGTCCTGGCCCTCTGCAAGTCAGTGGAGCACAAATCTGTCTATTTTCAGATCACAGTGTCAGAAAATTTTTTGACTCCATGTGACTATTGGTCAGCTAATCAGTGACTAGCTGATTAGCTGATTAGTGAGAGCTAATCCTACCTTGAAATCCCTGGCCAAGTTCAGATGAAGGGTGATGGAGAAGGAGGGGAAACAGGGAGAGGAGAGAGAAGAGAGAGCAGAGAGAGGAGAGAGAGGAGGGAGGAAGAGGAGGGGGGAAGGGAAGAGGAAGAGGGAGAGGAGGGAGAGGAGGGAGAGGAGGGAGAGGAGGAAGAGTTTCTTACAAAGCTAGAGCAGATAATGGGAGAGGTATGCAAGCAGCTACTAATAATGTTTAGTGATACAACTCCCTGCATTCTTGGTACCTAAATTATAACTTTTTAAAAAAATGTATTTGATACAGGGTCTCACTGTGCAGTTAGGACTTAATAGTGTACCTTCTGTTTTCAGCCTTCCCAGCTCTGGGATTATAGGAATGCACCACTATGCCCAGTCTTATGGCTGGCTCAGTGTGCCCAGGGGTTGGGCCAGTGTGGCATGTGGTGCCAGAGATCGAACCTCCATCCCTGTCTGGGGATCAAATCTTGGTCCCTGTGCTTGCCTGAGGAAGCACTTAGTCTACTGAGCTATCTTGCCGGCTCTTAAATTATAACATTTAAGAGGCAGATTCATGCAACCGTTTTGTATGTTTGTGCATATGTGAATGATAATTTTGTGGTAGTGTATTCAGTACTGACAATTGTGAACACTAAAACTTTAAACTCCTAAAGTCCGCTTTTCCTTCAGAGGTACCATTAGCAGGTAACATTAACACCTCACAGTGGCAGTGCTCACGGAGCGTTGGCCTCTGCAGAAGCGCCCCATGTAGCTCATTAATGCTTATGACAGCTGCTTTGATATTTTATGGAAAAAGGAACAAAAATGCAGAGAGGTCCATTCACCTTTTCCTCATTATCTCATGGGGGAAAATGTGTGTGTGTGTGTGTGTGTGTGTGTGTGTGTGTGTGTATCCAACTTCACTTACACTACAATTCATGGAGGCGGATACTCTGAATAATATGTGTATTAAAATTTATTATATTCTTTTCCTTCATAAATCCCAAAACTGAACCTTTTAAAATTCAACTTTAAAAGGATTTCCTTTAAAATCAGGAAAAAGTACACTTAGAAACAACTGTTGCTAAAGGCCCATATGATTCATTTATTTCCACACACATCAGTTTCCATCAGCTTTCCTGTTTTTGTTCCTTCCTTCATAATTAAATGAAAGTAATTGTCAGCATAAAACAATGGAATCACTTCATGTGTCCTGATATTAAAGTTGTGAATAAGACCTCTCTTCTATATCCTATTAACTTAAAATAAAGGGTGTGATATACATAATTTTGATATTATATATGAACGTGTATATGTGTGATGGTGGGTGTATGACTTGCTCTGGGTTTTGATTAAATTCATATCACTGCTATTGGGGCTGGCCAGATAGCTCAGTGGACTAAAGCACCTGCTTAGAAGGCACCGGAGTTCGATCCCAGGTGTGCCATGCTGGCCCTGGCCCCGGGGCACACTGAGACAGCGACTGAGACTGGGCATGGTGGCGTGTGCCTATAATCCCAGCGCTTGGGAAGCTGCAAACAGGAGGATCACTAAGAGTCTGACCTGTGTAGTGAGACCCTGTGGACCCTGCACTAAATACATTTAAAAAATATTTAACTGCTATTCTTGCTACATAAGGTTCTATAATATTTTCTGACAAAGTGTGTTATATTTAATCAACCAGTTGCTCCAGCGTAACACAAATGCCATGTGAGCACAAACCCTACAGGCAAACTGCCTGGTTCAAATAACTGACCTTGGTTAAATTATGTCATGTTTTTGGGCTTCCCTTTTCTCATCTGTAAAATAGGAGTAAGAGTAGAAGCACCTTCAGAGGTTTATGATGGAGACAGAATCAGTAGAGCTACTAAAAAGCACTTAGAAATTGTCCAGTTGGGAACTGGCCACCTGTGCTTGGCCACCTAGTGCCTGCCCTGTGTCTGAGTCAGTGTGAAGAAGCGCTGAGCAGTTGGGTGAACCGACCACCTAATGTGACAGGGTTGCCACTGCGCATGTGTGATGGATATAGCTGGAGAACATTTACGTACTGTCCTTCAGTGCCAGCTAAGGTGTAGTTCCAATGTCCGAGAGAATCACGACACCACGGTCCTTCTGTTAAGCCCATAGAGGCCACAGTGACACAGTAGCCAGATCCTGAGAGTCCAATAAGAGCAGCCAATGTAGAAGAAAGCATCTAGAGAAAGGAGAAAGGAGAAGAGGGCTGAAGCATCCTGCGGCTGCACCTGGAGACCAGGTCACATCCCCGAGCAGCCAGACTCACCGCACATCGCTTGCCACAGTTGTCGTGGCCACAGCAGCCACAGCAGTCCTCCTCCTCCAGCCCAATGAAGACAAACGCAGGCAGGAGCATCTGGTTGGGAGGCAAGCAAATTAAAATCATTGTCCTTCCCGGGGTCGCTTGGGTCAGGTTAAGCAACTTTGGTAAAATATTTTTACTTCTGATGGTGTTGACTGATTTTGATTAAGTTAATCAAATATTTCAAAGAATGTGAAAGTTTAAAGAGGAAAAAAAAACTTCTTAAAAAAACCCCTCTACAGTATTTGCTTATTTTCATGTAATGTGTCAAAGTATTCTCCAGGGTGAAACTGCAGAGCAGGAAGAGTAAAACACTAACTCATAAATGTGTTTATTCCATTTAAGTTCATAACAATGTCCAGGTACAAACTAAACTCTCCCTGAGAACTACTAAATGCAGTCTTTAAATCTGACTTCTCCCCACTGTCAAATGTAGAATATGTGTGATGGAGAGAACAAATATTCAGTTGTTCTTAAATAGAATAACTGAATATTTTTAAGAGGGCAGGATTCAATCTATAATAAACAGACTCAATCTGAAGCTATAAATGTACTGTTTTGACATGACAACAAACCTTTTAAGCAAGATAAGTGTGAAATACTTGAAGTTCAAAGCCAAAAGAAACCGAAACAAGTACAATGTTACGTTAAAGATTACATTCTCACCTGTAATAAATTATGTTAATTTATATTAATTATGTAGGTATTAAGGATTGTGTTAACATAATAGTCATGTTTAAATTCAAAACGGATTTGCTATGCCACAAGTTAATACACAGTATTAGACTTAAATGTTTCAATGTTTCGTAATTGACCAAGAAAAAATATTTTGTATGATACTAACAATTCCATAAAATTTCTCTTTAAAATTCTTAATCCCAGCATTTTCAAGTACCAAGTGCAAGTTTTCACATTCTTTCCATGCTGGGGTTGAAGCTAATAATTTCAGCTCCCAGCATGGTGAGCAAATTCCTCTCACTTCAATTAAAAACAAGCCTTGAAAAACACAACACATTCCACTATGAGCTGCAGACACTGATCCGCTGCTACCTGTGAGATTTTCCTAGTTACCACACCCTCAGAATGCTACAGTTCTTTGTAAATAGCAGTACTCCGTTTATTAGTTTTTTCTTATTACAGATGCCTGTGAATAAACAGCAGGTAGTTTTAATCCAAAACTGTTGATTTAGAACCAGTCAAACTTTCCTACTCCCAAGATAAAATGTTAAGTGACTGCTCAGTCTAGCACTACAAATTCGCTAGTCTCAAATCTTGCTTGAAAGTATCTATTTTCTAGCTGTAAAAAGAGTTAGCATGTGTTTAGTTCTTAGAGGATTTTGTGAAACAACAAAATCTAATGAAATGAATAAAAGATCTATCACAACCTTTACATAATCTGCTTCCAAAAAACTGAACAACAACAAAAACTCTGGACTTGGAAATATGCATCACAGAAAACTTTCCATGAAAATACAGCTCTAGTAGCAGGACAAAATTCTTAAAAGTTGTGGTAATTCTGAGTGACTTACCAGCAAGCCTCCTCCTGCAATGCCACTGAAGAACCACACGAAGCGGCTGAGGTTGTGTTCAGATGCATACCTTGTTTCCCCATTGGGAAAGTAAAGCAAAATGTTAGCCACAATGCAGAGGACGGCGAGCCACACCAAGGAGTGTCCGATGCACCGGGCACATTTGCCATAGCACATGGTGGTAGCAGGAAGGAGCCTGTGAGGTTTCCCCCACCTCTCTCTCTCCAGCTCACTGACACCCCAAATCAGATGAGGGTGTGCTTGTCTGTGGAGAAAACAGAAGCTACTCTCAGCCCATTTCTGCTCCCTCTTAAATACGGAGAGTTCTTAGTCACTTGGTGGATGAGGTACTTTGCTTTCATTGGTCCTGGCCATGGGCTCCGGCTCCGGCTGGGGTGGAGGGATGTGGGGGATGCCCCGCCCTTCAGTGCAATCCTTGGGACAAGCGAAACCAGAGGCAGGACATGAGAAACAGCCTCAGTCACAAGCAACAAAGAAGAATGATTAATTCTCCAGAAGGAATTCACTGTTCAATTCCTTCTCAGGATAGAGAATCAACAGGAAAATCTACAGGATTTTCCAGTAACTGCCAAGTGTCGCTGGCAGGACCTCCCTGGGTGAGACTTTCAAAGACAGCCGGCTGTGACCCTCTTTCTGGACAACTTCCATTCTAGGGCTGTGTGTTCACTGCCACCTCGGCACTAATTTAATTTGTGACCTGGGGCAAGTTTCCCAAACCCTGAGCTCATTTCCCTGTTTGTTAAAGACAAGGTGTCCAAATTGTCACCCATGGATTTGAAGAGGCTGCTGGGAAAATCACAGAGCAGACCTTGTTGCTTTGCCTGCAGCAAGCTCTGTTGGGCGGAGTCTGTGCTCAGCTTTCCTGGATGTCCGACTCCAGAAGAAATCTGCACCACGCTGAAAGGGCATCAGGCCACACGAGGGACTCTGGCACTTACACGTTCTTGAGTATTGCTGGCCTGCAAAGCGATGCGGGAAGGGCCAACAAAGGCCCGCTGTATTCTGCAACAATAAAAGGAGGTAAAAGAAGAAATGGAGATGAAAGGAAGCAAAAAGGCAAAAACAAGAGACTTTGTAAATCAAGTGGGGAACAAGTTTTAGAGAATGAATGATGAGTAACAGACCCAGACCCCACTGAGCAGGACACGAGGAGGAGAGGGGGTCTGCGCTGCCAGATCTGAGACATGATTTCACAGGCTCCCCACGTAAAGGCAGAGATGAGGTGGGAAACTCATTCCTATGTGATTATATTACAAAAAAAGAAATTGAACACCAAATAAATTTAGTCCTTGAAGAGCAGGTTGTTCTAGCCAGCAGGATGAGGGGGAGACCAGAGCGGCTGGGTGGGACCACAACAGAAGAGGTCCCATCACCAAGGCAGGTTATAAAGTACAGAACTAAATGAAGCAGTCATGGCAGGATGCTGTTAGATTAGAAGAGGGATGTGAGTGAGACTGGCGAGTGCAGAAACTCAGGCTTAGGCCGAGTGTGAAAGGTTGGTCCTACAAGGAGAAGGCAGGATGCACAAGCAAGTGTAGAGGCAGTTGGGGTCAGTGCCATGGGCTGGACCCGGAGAGGAGCCCAAGGAGAAGTGTGGCCTGAGCTTCCCAACAGGAGTGAGTCACAGGCCAGACTGGGCTGAGGAAATAAATCAGCGGAGACTGCCGGCAGGGAAGTGTGCAGCTGCCCTCCTGTTCAGGTATGCCAGACAAAGGCTCGTAATAGCACCACCGTCACCACCACACCTCCAAAAGTAGAGCATGTGGCTTCTGCCCAATGGTGGTCCTGCTAAGAGATGGGACCTTACAGAGGCTGGGGCCAGGGATGGACACCCATCCCTTCAGTAAGATATCATCCTTCTAACCCTCTACTCTATTCATCTGTCCTGGCTGGGCCCAAGTGGGGGAGAGCCATCCTTCGATTACTTAGCCCACTAATATTCAGGTCCCCTTCCTTTCTCTCTCCCCCAACCCCAGTCAGCAGGGCAGACAAAAAAGAGCGAGGGGCTTGGGAGGAGAAAGCCCAGAGTGAGATGCCAGCTCTGATGTTCCCAGCTTCATGAACTCAGGTAAGTCATAGTGCAGGACTGCTTCCTGGTCCCTAGAGAAAGGGCAGGCCACTGACTGCTTGGCAGGGAATTCTTAACAAGTTTTTGAGCATCTTGTAGTGATATTGAGCCTCTTTACAGAAAAAGAAATGTACATATACCTAATCAAATATAATTTTCATCATCTTCCTGGGATGATGACCCACTGAAGCCCACTGGTGGATCCTCTTCATATTTCTCTAGGTGGGGACTATCTGGGGACCCTGAAACCACACACAAAGAGTTTGGGTCTCATTTTTGATACAATGAATAGGGATTTTTAAGGAAGGACCAGCAATCTACGTGTTTTTAACAAACATTCTGGAAATGAGTCACTTGTTCCCTAAGTTTGAGAATCAGAGCCCCAGAAGTGTCATTTGTATTAGATGCTTTCTGAGGCCCACCGCCCCTCTAGAGAACTCTCAGGTCTCACCAACAGTGCAGGCTCACAAACTGAGTGGATACATTGCAGTTTTAAGGTTGGGTGTAAGGTATTTTCAGATGTTAACTTACAAAATTCACCTGCCATAAGGAGTCCCTCCCTCTTGCCCACCTGCTGTCCTTTTGCCTCTGTCCTGCAACTGATAGCCTAACCTCGGCAGAAGTGGGGACCTTTCTGGTTAGGCTTCTGGTTTAGGATCAAGTGCGTTTTTTCTGGGCAATTTTTTTTTGACACTTGGCTATGATCTCAGTCAGATCTGGCCCAGGAGATGATCCTGGCCTTTCTCCTGCCCTAGGTACTCTGATTCCTATGAGGGACAGACACCCACGCAGGTGCTTTCTGGGTTTGGATTCTCTTCCCCCCTGGCCCGGGCCTCATATCCACTGCTGGCCTTCTCCCTGTTCAGACTGTCATCTTCTCCTAAAGCTTTTTCCTTCAGAAGTCTGTTCTCATCTGAGTGGAGCATCCCTAATCTAAAAATCTGAAATCTAAAACATGCAGAAATCTAAAACCCTTGAGTGCTGACATGATGTTACAAATGGAAAATTCCACACCTTTCTCACATGATGGTGCAGTCAAAACACAGGTGTGCTGAAAATATTGTGTAAATTTACCTTCGGACTGTGCATATCGTGTGGATATGCATTTTGTATTTAAACTTGGGTCCCAAGATATCTATCTCCTTATGTAATGAAAATATTGCAAAGTTTTTCAGAATTCAGAATTGCAACATTCCTGATCCCCCAGGTATTTTGGATAAAAGCTACTCAGTCGTGTCAGCTTCTTGAGGGTGCCTCTCTGCAGACCGATCTCATGATGTTCTGCCCCAATCAAGTTACTTTCCGTCACTCTGTTCTATTATGGGTACAGAACTTAGCATCCCCTAAAGTTATTCTGTGTGTCCCCTTGCCTCCTTTTCTATTGTCTGTCTTTCCTCCTTCCCACTGAATGCAGGAACCTTCTGCCTTGTCCTGGAAAAATGCCTGAAACATCATAACTGCTAAGCGAGCATTGTTAAGTAGTTGACTGAGTGTGTCAGCATGATTTTAAGCCCCTCTTACTAAGTGGAAGGTCCAGCCCAGAGATGGCCAACCTGTGACGTGTGTGGTGCATCGGACTGTTTGTACCACTGGAAGTTCTGAAAGGCCCCCCAACCTCAATTCTGCTGTTCCTTTCCATGCACCCCGAACTTAATGGCAAAACTCTTTCACTTCCTCTCCTCACTGCTCCCAGATCTGCTACTGCCAGGCTATTTGCATTAGTTTGAGTCATTATCCATTCTGTGCTTGTTTCTATTATTAATTCATTTTGTGATATTTATTGAGCTCCTATTTTCTTACGTTTTCTAAGTTCTGGGAATACAACATAAACCAAAAATAAAATTCCTGCCTTTGAGGAATATCCATTCTATCAGAAGGAGAGAGACAACTCAAACATAATAGCAAATAAGTCAAATACAGAGTGTCTCAGGTAATGCAGAAAAGGGAAGTGGTGGAGGACGAAGCAGACCCTACTAGGAGAGCTGCTCTGGCACACATTGGTCAAACAGTCAACCTCACAGATGCTGGTAACCAGAAGCGAGTCAACAACCTGTGGAAACCTGAAGACGTTTGGCATTTAGCAACCTCTCAGTAAATGTCACTTATTATTTCAGGTAAGAAGTAGCTACTCCATGTACGATGCTTTATCTTTGCTTTTCTGAGATTCTTTCCCCACGACATATGTTGGAGTTATCTTTCCTGAGAATTTTTAAATGTTAGGATTGCTACAGTTACAGAAAAACTCCCTGTGCCAGACGTGGTGATGCATGCCTGTAATCCCAGCACTTGGAAGGCAGAGGCAGGAGGATCACTACAAGTTCAAGACCGGTCTGGGCTACAAAATGAGCTCAGGACCATCCTGAACTGCGTAGAGAAACCCTGTCTCTAGAAGAAAGAAAGAGAAAGAAGAAAGAAAGAAAGAAAGAAAGAAAGAAAGAAAGAAAGAAAGAAAGAAAGAAAGAAAGAAAAAAAAGAAAAG